CGGCTGGATCACTTTGGGACCAGATCGCGCGGAGGGTTCGCGAGACTGACCCGATTGGTCTGTTTCCGAATGTCTGACTGAGACACTGCTGAGGCTATCAGGGAAGGTGGACGTTGAGGCCGACGCAGAAAGTTGCTGATTTCTCTTCTCCTAGATAAACGTCCGGGCATCAGAGAAGGTTTTCTTAGATCCATCCGGCTGTAAGTGCCGGATGGATTTTCTGTGCTCCACTTGAGGGAAGCAGAGCCTATATAAGTCAATCTGGGGCCCCTCCCCCACCTTGGGCTTGGGATGAGGAATGGGCACACGATCTTTCAGAGCCTTCTTCCCAGAGGATGAAGGCTTCTTGGTCGGCTGACCCTTCTGGGGGGGTGGCTGACCGGATGAGATTCTTTATCTCGCCTTTGAAACTATTCATGAAAGTCATGAGTTCGTTTCTTGTGACGGGAGCAGATCCCGCTGCTGCCTGGGCATCCCCAACCGGCATTCCAGTTGTGTTGTTGGGAGCAGCTTGATTCTCACCTCGTTCCTTCATTTCTTTGGAACGGGTGCGTTTTGTTCTAAAGGACCCGTCTGGGGCCACATAGGTGTCGATTTTGTAGTCGTCACCACTTTCATGGTCCGTCTGGACCTCAGGCTCGGCCAAGGGCCATTTTTCCAGATTCGATGGTACAGTATCAGAAGTCATCTTAGAAGTACCCTCCCCACAGACGGCGCCAATGTTTCGGGGTTTTTTGATGTGTCCTGCGGGAGAGTTACGATTCCAACACTGAGCTGCCGGTGCTTGTACCTGCAAGATCACGAAGACTCCGGTTGGTAGGAGCTTTGCCTCCGACGATCAAGTTAGTATGCGTACAAGAGGAAAGAATACGGAATAGGTAAAGTTCTTCTCATTGATTGGGAGAATTCCGCAATTAATATTACTCGGTAATAGTGTTTGTATTTATGAATGCCCCATTAATGAGGTTTGCCCCACTATTTATAGTGGGGCAGACAAGTCCCCCATGAAAGGTACCAAGGACACGTGTCAACAGGGGATTGGAGCCCTATTGACTAATGGCGATGCGCCACGTGTCACCAGCCCATTGGGCCACGTGTCTAGGGTAATTTTTACCCTAAACAATACTTATACTATTAAAAGGTGTTACACAAGAGGGTTTATAGTAACACTTTTTAAAGTGTTACCATACGTTACCCAAAGTGTTACATAAGACCTAAGGTAACATGGGCGGATGTATCACCCACTTAAGTGTTACCTATTGTCTATAATAACACTTTTACCACTTTATGTAACACTTTTTGGGTGTTACTTAAGGTTAGTTATGTACTAGTGATTCTTTTTAAATTTTACTAAGTACTACGTAATTAGAAAGTAAAATACTAATATATAAATGTCAACTTGATAATTCCCAACAAATGTAATAAAACATAAATGTCCACTAACAACATCCAAAGCATAGTCTAATAAAACAACAAAGTCAAAGCTAAAATACATATTACAACTAATCTCTAAGTCTATTTATTGCATTCCAATCAGCAATCACCTGCTCCAACATTGCACTGGTGTCCCTTGAAAGCGTAAGGTACTCACTAAGTGATCGCTACACCGTAACCATGAATCGTCCTACCCACTGCACAAACCATTATAATAGTGTATTAATAGTAATAATAGGAAGAAAAAAAAATTAAATTAAAAAAACTAACAAAAAACTTACGTAATCAACGTTGGTTCTCTCAGGAAGACTGACATCATCCTCAACGTAAGGAGTGACGATAGGATGACTAACTCTCCCAAACCATGGTAGGTAGTCAAGGGCACAAGTATGTCCGCCATGTGGAACTCTAGTATATCCACCAAGTAGAAGACTGTACGAAGCACTAGGGACAAATCTGTCCCACATGAGAGTGGTCATCTAAGCTGAAAAACTAACCCTATAAGACTTCACCCTAAGTGGTCTCTGAGCATCATCGGGCCTAATCATGTCACCGGGAATCTCCTGTATGAACCCCAACCGTCGAACAACTCGATCGGGCATATATGGCTCTATGATGCCCCGATAGCGAATACATCCCGTAAACACAATCCTAAGTACCTGTTGTGTAGGAAAAGCTCCGTACGACAACCAGCATACCTGCAAATTAGTACAAGTGTAAATCAACTGTAAATAAAAGCAATATAAACAAATAGTAATTTCATATCTATTTATACCTCATGGTCACCCAGCTGGTCAATTCGAGTACAAAAGGACACAAGACGCTGTTGATGCTTCCGCATCATACCAACATCCCACAACCTTGCACGAGCATGAGGGACGTCTCGCGTCAACACACCCTGGTGAAGCCAAAAACATGGAAATTACTCGTATATCCAAGCCTATAGAAGAGTAAGACAACCCGAGAATCACATCCATTTCGGGTGGCATGCCCGAGCTGACGATACAAGTACGCTAGTGTGGCTGAACCCCAGGAGTATCTCGTTAATCTCTCCAGGTTATGCTCCATACACAACTCACTGAGAAAAGAAGGGTGAGTACGGGTACCGCTCTTGTCAGTAAAGAGCGTATTACCCAAACGACCCACATGTAACCAATGGCCTGAACCGCCTCTGGCTGCTCCTCACTACGACACCTAGCAATACTCTGATTAGTATGGAAGCCACCGTTCCTATAGATGGCATTCTAAGTCTTGACTTGTAGCCCCTCCGGAGTCAACTGTAACAACCCACCTACCAATGTCCTATATTGGTCACTAGGGAGATCATCGACAACCATATCCCCATCAACCCGAATACCAATAATGTGGTGTACGTCGTGCAACATGATGGTCATCTCACCAAAAGGTAGGTGGAATGTGTCCGTGTCTGGCTGCCATCTCTCAACAAAAGAAGAAATCAGCGGAAAATCAAGGTGGTCGTGCATAATGCTAGGCAGGCAGGTGCAATAACCCAGTTTGCCGTATCCGTGTAGTAGTGGCAGCTGTTAATCGCTCTAGCCAGTCAGTCAAGTCTCTACACACACTAGCTCTAGTATGACACCGCAAAAACCATCGATCTTCCCCATCCCAAATATACCGAGCAACATGGGCCCCGAAACTAGGAATAATGCTCCCATCCTCGGGCCCATCGTCCATCGGCCCCTGAACAAGCTAAGACACTATAGATCGAGGTGGTCGGGAACTCGTAAATCTCTCATCAGGACCTCTCGTCACGACAGACGGCTTCTCCTTAGCATCAGCCTCACCCTCATCTTCGTCATCCTTAGGTCCATCATCCTCGTACCTCGACCCCGAACCCGAACCTAGAGTCCCATAATCATCCACTACCATATTTCGCTTCAGTACTGAACCACTTTCCCGTATACTAATCCCCTTATGTCTCCTAATTGATGCGTTACTACCGCGTGATCTAGCATGCCGTGGACCAGAACCCTCAACTACATTCTAAATTAAAAATAAATTATAATATTAATAATAAAAACAAAATAGGTGATGCAAATAATTGAAAACAAAATAAAACCTATAATGTGTTCTATGTATCATTTAAATAAAATCATTACGAGTATTAAACAATAATAAACAACAACAATAACAACAACAACAACAACAATAATAAACCAGTACCCCACATTTGCGAGAAAGGGTTGAATAGTCATTACCTAATATTACTACAAGCATCAATTGGGATCCATTTTGGTACCTCTGCCAAATTCTTGTTTTCTCTTTCAATTTTTTAAAAGTTGAATCTAAATATAAACCCAAAAATCTACTAAAAACACATAGTTAAAGAAATAAAAAACAAAATGTATTATGGTAGCATAACAAAGATTGAAGTAAAATTAAATAAAAATACCAGAGTTAAATGGGTCGAATTATACTTGTATAATCTATAACGTATTAAAAACAGATGGATTGAATAAGCTTGTCGTTGTAAACTTGGAGTTTCTCTTGTAATAATGGGTAGTACGAGTACTAAATATTGATTTTTTTTTTTCAAGTATCTACTACTTTAGCATCTTTGAGTGAGCGATTGTCAAACTAAATTCCCCCTTCATTCAATTAGATTTTTTTTTTTTGCCAAAAACTAAAAAAGGGCATAAACCCCCACATTTTTTGCAAGATCTAGGCTGAAACGCGTAGATCTTTCGAATAACCATGTGGGTGATCAAAACTTCTAGGCGTTTCAGCCTAGTTCTGGCGAAAAAGTGGGCGTTTCCGCCAATTCCAGAAAAAAAAAACTGACCCTGTCTCCGGGGACGACTCCTTCGACGACGGCCGCCCCTTGTCCCTCGGCATTTCCACGCTAAATTATATTGAGCTAGTATAAGAAGGTGGTGTGGGTTGGTAAATGGTGGTGGTGGTGGTGGTAATAGTTTAGAGGGTGAAAATTTTAAAGAGAGAGAAAATTAGGTGGCAGGTGCTTTGTTAAAGAGAGAGAAAATTCATAATTTGAATTCTGGTTGTGGTAAATGGTGGTGGTGGGTTAAATTTATGATTGTAAGAGCACTTACAATGGTGGGCAAAATAAAATGCTCATGGGCATTTTTGTGGGCATTTTGGTAGAAATAGTCTTGCAATGGTGAGCAAAAGTGAAAATGCCCATGAGCATTTGTTATTTTGCCCATGAGATGAGCAAAATAAAGGATGAATAGTGCTCTGGTGGGCCCCACAATTTGCAATGGTTATATTTTTTGTAATGCAAATTCTGAAATAAATATTTATTAAAAAAAAATTTAAAATTACTAACGGTCATAAAATTTAATTCTCTATAAATAGACATGTATTTTGGTATATTTTGGTATAATTTCAGAAATACCATAAATCCTCCATATTCTTTATTTTAACGATAAAAACGTCACAAATTAAAAAAAATAAGTTACACAAATTTAGACTAGTTTTTATTTATTTGGAGTAATATTGTTAAAATATAAATGAAATTAATAAATAAAGAAGTGTTGTGTAGGAGAGAGAAAGTAATGGTGGGGTATTGAAAAAGTAAGAGAGAGAGAGTAGTGGAGCATTTTTTTTTGCTCACCATTGGGAGAGAAATTGTGAAAAAAATATGCCCATAGGCAAAACAAATTTGTTGAGAGAGAAAGTGGGTAGAGAGATAATGGGTGGACATTTTTTTTGCTCATCATTAAGAGTGGTCTAAGGACAAATTCTTTATTTATATCTATAAGGGTAAATTCGTAAACAAATTTTATTTTGCGGACGTTAATTAGATATTTGAAGGCGGTATTTAACAACCTCTCAAATAAAAAAGAGCAAACGCCTCAAAAAAAAGTAAAATGAATAGTCGGATGAAAAAACCATTTGCCTTCCCTCCAAATTCAGGATTTCTTCCTGCTATTCCTCGATAACCCTAATTTAGATTTCCAAGTAGAAATAAGGAAATTGAAGATGAGGAAATGAGGTCAAATTCGTTGCTTCTTCCCTTGCAAATTAATCTGAGGAGAATTTGAAGTTGTAATCTGGTAAGGATATCTTCCAAAACTCTCATTATTTGTTTCCACTTCATTTTCACTTCTAATTTGAATTCCCCACTATTTTCATTCTCATTACTTTTCACTTGTTTTTTCTATGAATTTTACATGCCAATTTGTTAGCTTTTGAACCCATTTTTGTGTATTTGTATTATCAGCTTTTCGTTAATGTTTTTGGCTTTTAATTCCTTGAATTTATAATTGTTCTTTTTTATATATATTGTCTGAAATCAGTGCTACAGAGTCAATATCCTAATGCCATGACAAAATTGAGTCTTTGATTGATTCCCATTTCATATTTACAAAGCACAATTTTTAAGAATATGTTGCAACATCTGATATATGGTGTATCTTTGGTTTAAAAATTCTGAAGGGGTACATTGAACACTGGTGTTTAAGGAGCATTAGTAATGGACTCAATTAACTTCACCAAAATGAGCCGTGGGCGAGTATTTTGGTCAGACTTGTCCCCGGAGTTGTTGTCAAAAATTGTTGCATGCCTTGAGAGTCGATCGGACACCCAGAACTTTCGGGCAGTTTGTAAGGCATGGAAGAGATCAATCACTTTACATGATCTCACCTCAGAGAACATATTATCCACTATTTTCCCCTACTTTCTAGCAACCTGCGCTGGAAGTTGGTTAGATGATAGCGCTCCTTTCTCACCGGTTGTAATGGCGAGTTATGTTTTACTCTTTCGATCAACTCACGATCCTAAGCTCCCACCCTGGTTATTTACTACTGAATAGTTGCACCCTGGTAAGTTGTTTGTGAGCAGATTCCTCTCACCAATCGCCATTAAATTATTGCCCACCGGTTTCCCAAGGAAATTGGATTTATCTTACATTCAACTATCTGAGTTAGCTGTATTCCATAGGTTAAGGTTTGTTGATGCTCCTAGAGATATGTTTGGGAAGAAGAGTCTTCCAGAGTTCAACGATAATAGGGTGGTTTTGTTTGTAAATCCTAATTGTAGTAAAACTTACCCTACAATTGGTGATTGTACTGCCATAGTTTTACATCATAAAGGGGCCTTATGTGCAATAAGGCTTAAAGACAAGTGAGAGTTAAAGGTGAGATTCCGGGAATCCTATCTAGGGGTGGAAAAGTTTGATGATATAGTTAATTTTAAAGGAAAGATTTATGCTATTGATCGCAGATGCAGAGTCTTTACGATGGATTACAATACCTTATCATTGTTGCTCTTGATAGAAAAGCCAGTACTTGAGTTTTCATGTTATAAGAGACGTCTAGCTGTATCAAGTGATCATCAAGAATTGTATTTGATTGATAGATTGTGTAGGCATGGAACAAGAGATGGAATAGATTTTACCATTTATAAGTTAAACAAGGACGAGACAAAATGGGATGTAGTTGAAGGGGTTGGTGATGATAAGATACTATTTGTAACTTTTGATGAGAGTTTCTTTGCCTCAGTGGAGGATTTTCAAGGCTGGAAAGGCAATTGCATTGTCTTCTATAGAGGTTGTTCCTCTCTTCCCGATCAAGATGATTCACTTTTTGCTTATAATTTTTATGGTGGTGATTGTCAATATTTGGCATCTTATCAATCTAGAGTGTTCTGGCCACCTCCAACTTGGCTATCATCAAATGCGCTTATGTCCAAATGGTATGTTTAACCTTAGCTTTTCATTTTTTGGCATTGAAAGATGTGTGCAGTAACTGCTGTATATAATATTATAATTCCAGTGAATTTGCAGATAGTGACATTTCCTTGAGTTCAATTTATATGTGTATTCTGGAATTTATAAGCTCAGTTTTTCCATACTAATTTCAATGCAATGTTGTTCCTCCTATTTATATCTTGTAATGAAACTTAAAAAAAGCTATTGTACTCATAGCATGTTCCAAATGTCTTTTATATCAGCCTTGAAACTCCATGGTTTATCCCCGTCGAAAAATTGAACCCAGGTAAATTTTCTCAGGAAACTCACATGCTACTCTAGACTCTCAGGTCTGTTAAATGTTTTTCTAGGTTTTGGGTATCTGCCATTTTGTGCAACTGAGATCTGTTGGGGTCATTACTCTAGGTTTGGGGATACTCTGAAACATATTTTGTAGATACGAACTGGGCAAAGTGTAGTATAGAGGAGTTTTTTTTTTTTTTTTTTTTTTTTTTTTTTTTTTTTTTTTTTTTGTGAGACATGCATGCGTCTCTATATTCTCTCACTCTTCAGGATTTAGGGATTGCATTGCCATTATATTGTTTAGTATTGCCATTATATTGCTTAGTATTGGAGATTTGCTGGCTCAATAATTTGGAAAGTAGAAGACTTGGATTAAATAGCTCTTAAAAACTTTATAGGTGTTGACATTATAAATTATAAGCATCTCCTTGCCTATTTCAAATATTAATCTCCTTTGTCATCTCCTTAGCACGGTGGGCTGACTGTACTACATCATATAGCAATTAGTATCTACTTTGTGGTAAGACTTTGCCTTGCCGTGTTGGGTGTGGACACGATTGATTATTTGGTCCATGTTAGAATGTTAGCTACATTGTCAGTTGAATTTTAGGAGCATTTTTTAGTGCAGAGAAACTAAGAGGATTGTCTTTCAGTATATGCTATTGTAGATTGGATTTTGTGACGAATTGTGCATCTGGTGTTGAAAGAATTTGAGGCATGCTGGAATCATATCAATGTTCATCTGTTCTTAGAATATGTGCTGTGATGTTTGCAAGTACAAATTATTTATTTTTTTGGTCGAGAACCTTGCTTGGCATGTCATTTGTTATTGAAATGTGCATAAATAGTATGAACTTGAAATATATAGCTTTATAAGTGTTGACGTATCAAAGTGGGATGTAGCAAGTAGTGGGACTGGTCATATAAGCATTACTCTACTGCCGAAGACGGGGATTGTAATTTATGTATCTATTGTTTCCTATATCCCAAACTTCTAAACTATCATATTCTTAAAATCTCCTCGCTTTTTCTCATATTATCTTCACTTTACATCAAAAAACGTGGTCCCCCCTTTTTCTCTATTAATTCTCAAATTTCACACACTTTCTCCATGTCCACCGAGATAAACATGGAAGTAAAAACTAGGTACTTTTTGTTATATGGAAAGCTTTTCACCATATTTAATTTTGTTTGTGCTTGTGAAGGGCAACAAAGGAAGATGAGCAGACTCAATCTGATGTTGACAGTGAAGTTGGTGAATTCCCGACTCCAATTAAACTTGACCTTGTGGTTGTGGAACAATTTGTTGAGGCACCCTCTATCTCTGAAGCACGAGGAAGCATCTCACGAGTTATGACACATTCATACTTTTTAATTGTTAGTTTTATGCTCTTCCTGCTGTCCGTTTATGCCTTAAGCTGGTTAACAAATGAACACTGGAATGCCTTAAAAAAAAAAAAAAAAAAAAAAAAGCTGGTTAACAAACTTGCCACTATTTTCTTTGTTTCCCTGTTACGTGGTTGCTGTGCTGGTAGTGTCTTTGTCAATGTTATCTTAATTTAGTTGCATGATAACAGTTTTCCCATTAGTATTTTAAAACTATATCTACTAGCTCTCTGTTGGTGCCTATAGCGGCAATGGTTTCCCTCCTCATCACTTTTTGTCTTGCAATTTTTTTTTTTTTTGGGAGGTAATATGGCTCTCTGTGTAGGTGGTGCATCTTGAACCACTTAACATTCTCTCAGCTCCCAACCATCTAAGTTTCTATGTTTTTTTAGTTAGGCTTTGCCAACTTCAACCAATCTATTGTTATATTACCTAGCAAAAATGGAATTTTAAATACAGAAAAAGGTTAAGTAGAAGAGAAGTGCACAAGCACTTGCCTTCCAAATAAAACTCGTGGAAAACAACAAACTGGTGAATGGTTGCTTCAAGGTCTCATAATTGCTTGATAAATGATTGTTTTTTCCTATAGGCCAAATGTTTCTCAAGTAGCAATTAGGGTGCTTCATTTGTGATGGAGATGCTAATGAATATGCTCATTTTTTTCACTCTCCTATTCTATTTGTTTTCACTCTGCTTTATTATTGATGAAGTTTTTGCTATCTTGTATCATTAACGTATCCCATTTTTATGCTTGTATCCCTGTGCAATTATGGGAAAGGAAATGATAGGTCAAAGGCCACTAGTTTTATATTTTCTTGTCTAATTTTATAGGCAGAGGGGTCTGAAGTTTCAGCAGAGCTTGAGTTTCCCAATCAACAGAATCTAATCCTAAGCATGGAGAATAAAGCTCTTAAGCAACGTTTGGAAAGCTTGGCCCAGGAGCAGCTCATCAAACACCCTAAGTGTTGTCAACTATTTTGAAGATACATAAGCTCTCTTTTGTATTATGGTGATGTCAAGGATGTGGACACTAGGACTCTAGATTGTGATTGTCTGACAAGCTGCTTCAGCTAGGCCATCTTTATGTTAACCTAGTCTTGTCTCTGTTTTTTGGTGATGCTTGATTGGGAAAAGCAGTCAGAAGCATGATGCTTGTATACTAAGAAAATCCTCTTATTACTTTTTTTTTTTTTTTTAATAAATCACTCATTGGAGTGGGGGTGAATTATTCTTTGAATTAGTAGGTCCTTGGGGTCACAGTGATAACATGTTGAATGATTTCATTAGACTTGTATCAGTTATGGGAGAGATTTTAGCTACTATGATAGTAGAAAATCAAATGCATGATGTGTATAATGTGCCAAATTGCCAACCCCTCTCACATATTGTGGGTCAAACCATCCAAGATGCTATCATTTGATGTCACATTATACATTTCTTTGAGGCTTGTCTACTGGTATAGAGGACTTTGATAAATTCATGAATGTTGAATCTTGCTTTGATATCTTCTGATAAGATCTTTCATGCTGATACTGCTAAAATTTTGAAATCCCAATCATCACTTTGGCTCTTTCTCTGGTGAATTTATAAAAAAGAAATATAGTACAACCTTTACTGAATAGTGTTTCCCTCATAATAAAGAAGCTTGCTGTTTTGAGATTATGTGTCATATCTTGCTAATAGCTGCTATGTATCTTTGTATAACTTTGTAAAATTTGAAGTTTCGAGCTCCATAACTTTGTAAAATTTGAAGTTTCTCTGGAGCTCCCTGTTATCTGTTTTCTGTGCTGTGCCATGTAATTGCTTATTGCTGTTATCAATGAGAATTGAGTTAAATAGTGCTAAGAAAGTTCATGTTGGTTTCAGTGGAGCATGAAGTTTTGGAAAGAGAAATAGGCCGTCTTCAGGCTTTGTACCAACAGCAGCAGCAGCAGCCACACCAGCCACTTCAGCGGCCGTCATCTAGCCACAGACGTACAAATAGCAGAGATCTTGATTCACAGTTTGCAAATCTCAATTTAAAGCATAAGGAGTGTAGTTTAGGGCTTGACTCCTTCAGTGGTCCAGTTGGTATTTGAACCTTGGGATTGTCAGAGGAATTTGTATCTGCTTTGTGTCCTTCAATCACACTGATGCCAACCTTGGGATTGTCTTTTTTTAATTTTTTTCTTCAGTTTTTTAAAGTGTAATATTACAAGTTATTGAAGAAAATATATGTGTTTTATGTATATTATGATTACATATAAGTATTTGGTACAATTTAAGTGAAAAATGCAAAAAAAAAAAAAAAATTAATAATTTTAATTTTTTTTTTGGGCATTTTTGGCACCGGTTTTGGAACAGAACCGGTGCTAAAAGTTTTTTTTAAAATATTTTTGGGGACTCTTCGCACTGGTTCACATCAAGAACCGGTGCAAAAAGTCTTAGGATTTGGCATTCCTCAAATCAGAACCGGTTCAAAACCGGTGCGCAATGGGGGTTTTGAACCGGTGCTGATTAGCAATTTTCGCCTAGTGATGGGTGTGAGTGACAAAAAGTTCAATGAGATGATGACCCATAGCAAGATGCTTGATACCCAAATCACTCAACTAGTTAACGCTTTGAAAGAGAGTGCAAGCCCATCTCCTCTACCCTCCCAAGGTCTTGACCCTAAGAAATCGGTTTACTCTATCACCACTAGAAGTGGCAAGGTACTAGAGGACAGAGTGTCTAAGAGAAGAAGAAGGTGAGTGATTCATTTGATGATGATGAGCATGATGTGTCTAGCAAGAAGAGTGAGAGTTCCAATGAGAAGGCCAAGGAGAAAGAGAGAATGCAAGATGAGGTTATCAAACCCAAACTTCCTTACCCCCAAAATTTTTTGAGGCATAGCATGGACAAACATTTCGGGAGGTTCATCAAGATGCTTAAGCAACTTCATCTTTCTATTCCTTTCACCGATGCTTTGCAACAAATGCCAATTATTACAAGTTCCCTAAGGACATTTTGAGTGGCAAGAGAGAGTGCAATGTGGTTGATTCGGTGAATGTTGGGGGAGTGTTGTAGTGCTCTTATCCATAATGACCTACCCCCAAAGATGAAAGATCTGGGGAATTTCTCCATCCCTTACAATATCAATGGCAAATTGTTCCTAAATGCTCTTTATGATTGAGGTGCTTGTGTTAGCATCATGCCATACTCCATTTTCAAGAAGCTTAAGCTAGGAGAGATACTCCTACCAACATGACCCTATAATTGGCCGATAGTTCCAAAAAGATTCCCAAGGGTAGGATTGAGGATGTCCCCTTCAAGATAGGAGAGTTTACCATTCCCGTTGATTTCATTGTGCTTGAGATTGCGGAAGATGACAATATTCCCATCATCTTAGGGAGACCATCCTTAGCTACGTCGGATGCCTTGATTGATGTGAAAGGCGGCACCATTACTTTCTGTGTTGGTAATAGTAAGGCTAGTTTCAAGCTTAAGTCAATGCACGAGTCTATATCATACTTGCAAGGAATCATGTGCATAAATTCACTTCCTTTGAGTGACAATGCTTTCATGTTTGTGTCTTCTACTAACGACATTCTTTAAGCTTGTGATGATGTTCCTATAAGTGTTGAAAGCAAGTTGGTTAGTAATGATGTCAAAGAACCCTCAAATCTTGAAGATGAGGACGAGCTTGAAATACCTTTATGGTTTGAGCTTTCGTTGAAGGATGATGAGCAAGGTTCTCCAAGTATTGATGGTGTGAAGTCGCTCGCCCCAAGGAAGAAGAAATTAAGAAAGAAAAGAAGTTCAAAGAAGAAAAAGAAGAAATTGAAGACCAATATCCTTGATTCGACTCTATTGTCTCACCATGATGAATCTTGTGATGAGGTTTTGCCTAAGCTAAGCTTGGAAATGATTTTGTTCTCTCCACCACTTTGGATAAGGTGGTTTTCTTTGACCCTCCGTGACTTGGAGGAAATGTCAAGCTATTAACGTTAAACAAGCGCTTCCCGGGAGGCAACCCAGTTTTCTAACCCTTTTTCCTATTTTTCTTCATTTTCTTCCTTATACATTTTTGGTTATTTCTTTATTTTTCTTTATTTTCTTAATTTTAAGAATAATTGGATTCATTGGATTTCGATTTCCAGCAATTTTGGTGTCATTTGAAGGTTTGGAGGGTTTGCAATTTGAGTTAGAAGTTGAGAATTTATGGTTGAATAGGGACGATCTCATGGTTGCGCTCTCATTGATTTTGATGATGAACAAGTGAATTTTGTGATTTTTGGGCTGCCTTGTGTTTAGGGGAATTTTCCCGGCCACGTGGACCAATCAGCACCTGCCACGTGTCATACTCCAGGAGGTCCAACATGGACCAACAAGCCACACCATGTGGCACATAGCTTGCCAACCTGAAAAACGGCCAACAAGGCCCGACTCCCAAGGCAAGCCTAATCAGTCCTAGGTTTAACATTTAACCTAGTATTGGGCACGTACTTCGAGGCTATAAATACAGGTAATTAGCCTCCATTAGAGAGGTTAACTAATCTAGAGATTACCCCGCGTGCATACTTATTGCTAGACCTTACTTAGCATTAATTGCACTCCTTCCAAGGTTACCCACCGCAACTAGCCTGCTCACTCCTCCCTTCGGGGGAACCGGATCACCTTTACTTTCCGCACTTTTTACTCCTAAACACGTTCTAACTTGATCGTCGTAGGCGGAGCTCCCACTAACCGGAGTTTCCGTTGTTTTGCAGGTACAGGCGCACGGATCCAGTCCCGGAATTGTAATTCTCCCGCAGGACATAAAAAAACCCCGAAACACCTTGCTTGTGGGCATCACATGAGCACAGCAGTCAAGAGCGCCGTTGAGCGTGACCGCATCACTTGGCCACACCCCACAACACCCTCGCAGCCCCCCGGCAAGTAGTGCACCAGCCAAGCTATCTGTCCGCCGCGCGCACGCGCAGACCCCCCCTGCACGTACGCACAGCAGGCTGGGTGCGTTGTGCGTGCAGCTGCTATGCCCCCCTTTTTCCCCCTCATTTCTCCTTTCTCTATTCCCGACCTCCCTCCTCTCTCCTCCCTTCTTCCTCCCTTCTTTTTCTTTTATTTTCTCACCATTTTTTGCACCTTAATCCACACAAATCACTACATTTTGCATCTTTAAAACAAAAAAACAAGCATAATTTTCGAATTTCAAGAACAAATTTCCGGATTTTTGAACTAAATTTTCGAAAATTTTCATTTGTTCTTGACATTTGGGTATTCTGAATTTGGCACAGGAGCTTGCATTTGGGTGTTTTAATTGCTTTAATTCCATTAGTTTATCCATTTTCAAGGGTTTTTATTCTCTATTGAGGTATAATTTCTACTCTCTTGTTCATCTTCTTCCTCATTTGAGAACTTAAAACCCAAGGTTGGGCTTTAATGGTAGATCTCCATTGTTAATTCTTTTTGCTAATATTTTGCGTTCTATGATGCTATGTGATGTTGATTTGATGCTTTTTCATCTTGAAATTGATTATTTGCTTGAACATTTGACACCACCACTATTGGACATCTTTCTCTTTCATGGTTATTGTTCTTAGTAGCATTACTTCTTTGTGTTTCATCATCTTTGTCAATTTGACTATGATGTTCATGAATTTGTGCTTCTTTGTTATTAACTTTTGTCATTGATTTTTGTATTGAAAGCTTCTTAGTTCTTATTGTAACTTTCTTTGTTGCTACTATACTAGTCATGGCATGAGTTCATTTGTCTAATTATTGTTCATCTACAATGGTGTCATGTTTGTGCTTGAATTGCCAATGCTTTTCATGATGATACTTTGGTTCTTACTCTATTTCAATTTCACTGATTTAGGTTTGTTTCTTTCATGAATTGCTTATTCTTGCCTTTTCTTCTTATAGATGACTCATCTACGATGTGCTAAGAGGGCTCATAACCCATTGTTCCACCTCCTCCCGAAATTGATGAAACTTATGGATGATTTGGCATCTAGCAAAGAATTTTGGATTATTTGAGTTCTCGGACCTCAACACTTCAACCTATGATCGTTTGACATATGAGTTCCTTTCCTCTTTCGGGGTGAAGAAGGTCCTTTGCCGAAGCATTTGTCGCATGGGAGATTGGTGAGATCTACCTTATTGTCACATTTGTTCTTTTAGCTTGGGATCGCTTGGTGAGACCTTTCTATTTTCTTCTCTGTTTTATCATTTTATTTTCTTGTGTGCATAGTTTAGGTTTTAGTTTAGATTGGAGTTGAAAGGTTCGAGGATGTATGCTTTTAACACCTAGTGTGTTTGGGATTGTTGACATTGTGGTCGAACGATCATTGTTTGTCGATTAAGATTTCATTGTTTATGCTTACTTCCTTTTAGCTTTTCATTTCCTTCTTTGTTTCTCCATTTTCTTTTACGCAACCTCATTCAAGGCAATTTTTGCAAAATGTGTTTTTCTATCTCTCTTTAGTTAGACAATTCAAATCGGTCTTGTGTTTTTGAATGAATTCCTTCTTAGTGTACATGTGTGCATGATTTGAGAGTGTTGGTAGTTGATTCTAAGATATTACATGCTAAGGTAGCCGGTTTAAGAACTTTAAGGTCTATGAAGATTTAGTTCATTGAAAGTGGTAAGATTGTGTTGCTTTTCATAGTGGATTTGATACCTTTGAGTTAATATTTGCTACACAAATCCTGTGTGAGGTATATATTCAGCCTTCATCATCTTTGTTGAGAGGCGCTAAGGATCCTTGTCTATGCATGTTTTTATCTTTGGTTTGTCTACTAGCTCTCGAGATCGAGACTGAGCCACTTTAGGGGAGGAAAAAGGCTATTTTCATTTTCTTTTGTGTTCCTTTTATTTAGTTAATTTCTTGTTTTCTTTTTCATTCACCCTCTTGCTACCCTTTTGAGCTTACTTCCATTGATTTGGTTACTAGCCACATTACAAGCCTAACGACCTTTACCCTTAGTTATGAAGTTAACTTTGGTTGAATGCTTGTTTTATCAATTGTATGGATTTATGATGGTTTGTGTTCAAAGTGTATGGCATGTTTGTGATATGCATGAGATTCTTATGGTTCATATATGCAAGAAGCACAAGAAAAGTAATGTAAAAGGGTGTAAAAAGAATGACATTTGAGTTTAATAAGATTAAAATAAAATAAAAAATAAGTGAAAGTGAAAAAAAGCAAAGATAAAAGAGAAAAGAAAAAAAGAGC